TCCCGATTTTCCCGAATTCCCGGGATTTTGGGGCGCACAGGCCTCGACCCCGCCGCGTCAGCGTTGCCAGGCAACGCCTAAAATGGCGGCGCGCGCGCGGGGCACGCCGGGAGTTGTAGTGCGAACGCCCCACCGCCCCCGCGCGCCGCCGGCAGCGCGGGACTGGCTTTCCCAGCAGGCATCGCGGCGCCGCGCGAAAAGGCTGAGAGAGCGCATTTACCTGCGGGGAGCGGAGCACAGGTGGGGCGCGCCGCGGGTGCTATTGGGATTTGTGGTTTTTAGCGGAGCGGCCGCTAAGCCAAGCGGCGAGGCGGGCGTGGCCGCGGGACTACAACTCCCAGGGTGGCGCGGGGTGCAGCGGGCTGGGCGCCGGTGGAGGGCGGGGGGTACGAACGGGAACCTCGGCGGTGGTGGGGGGATGCTCGGGGGAGCTCTCAGGTGAGGAGGAGGAGGACGAGGAAGCGGGAGGGAGAACGGGCGGCGAGCCCCGGGGCGAGCGGCGAGCCCCGGGTGGGGCCCCATTGTTCGCGGCGGGCAGCGGTTCCTCATGGAGTCACCGAGTTCTGCAGGGAGATCGGCACCAGCGGGGTCGGAGGGGTTTGGCTTTGGGATTAAAAAGCTTTAGGATTAAAAGGCTTTGGGATTAAAAGTCGCCCCTTGTTCCTGCTCCTTCCCCAGCGCTTTTGGGGCCAGCTGCGTTTGGAAAGGAATTCTCTACTTGTCCCCCCCCCCCGAAACTTTTATTTCCTAATAATTTAACTCGGTTGAAGAGGATTTTTTGCCGATCTGAGCTTGTTGGGGTGGTGGGGATTTGGTGATATTATTTTGGTGTGTTTTTCGTGGCTGAGCTTCCCCCAAATGCACATCCCAATAATACGGGTTTTGGTGCACCGTTTAGGGGTGAAAAAACCCCGAATTTATCATAGAAACATCGAGATTGTTGAGCCTGGAGAGGGGAAGCTTTGGGGCGACCTCACTGTGACCTTCCCGAGCTGCAGGAAGGGGAATTTCCACGGGATGGAGGGACACGACAAGGAGGGATTAATTCCAAGCCACAAGGAGTGGGTTTAGGTTGGATTTTGGGGAGAATTCCGTCCCTGTGAGGCTGCTGGGATCCTGGCACTGCTTATCCCAAGGATTTCCCATCCCTGGAATGCCCCAGGCCAGGCTGGACAGGGCTTGGAGCCGCCTGGGGCACAGCAAGGTGACACCGAGAACCCTTTAAATCCCTCCCAACACATTCCTTTATCCCATTCCTAAAACACTTTTCCCTGTGGAATTTTCACTTCTCCTTCCCAATACCACTTTTCCCTGTATAATATTAATTTCTCCTTCCCAAACCACTTTTCCCTGTGGAATATGAATTTCTCCTTTCCCAAAATCACTTTTCCTTGTATAATATGAATTTCTCCTTCCCCAAACCACTTTTCCCTGTGGAATATTCATTTCTTCTTCCCCAAACCACTTTTCCCTGCGGAATATTTGCTTTTCCCTGCGGAATATTCATCTCTCCTCCTGATTTTCCATGCTGCAGCAAGCGCTGTAAGAGCAGAAGGTGTCCCAGCAGTGAATATGAATGAATGTTTGCTCAAGGCAGGTGTGGAGCAGCTTTTACAGCAAAGCCTGGCTCAAGGTGGCTCTGATTAAACCCAGCTTGTAATTGCTGAGCGCTGTTACAAAACCCCAGCCGTGGAAAGGGCAGGACTGAGCTCCAAGCTGGAAAAACGAGTCCTGCTCCAGCTGGGACTGATAAAAGATTGTTTTGTTGAACCTGGGCAGGTTCCTGGTGAAATGAGCAGCAAAGCCGGAGCCTCAGGTGTTTGCTGGCAGCTGGGCAAGGTGCACAGGGCTCCCGGCAGCCTGCAGGTGAGTGACACTCACAGCTCCCAAAACCTTCCATTCCTCTCTGGTTTATTGTTTAAATGTTCATAACCCTTCCATTCCTCTCTGGTTTGCCATTTAAATGTTTAAAACCTTCCATTCCTCTCTGGTTTGCCATTTAAATGTTCATAACCCTTCCATTCTTCTTTGGGTTATCATTTAAATGTTTATAACCCTTCCATTCTTCTCTGGTTTATTTAAATGTTCATAACCCTTCCATTCTTCTCTGGTTTGCCGTTTAAATGTTCATAACCCTTCCATTCTTCTCTGGTTTATCATTTCAGTGTTTAAAACCCTTCCATTCTTCTCTCAATTTTATCATTTCAGTGTTTAAAACCCTTCCATTCTTCTCTCAATTTTATCATTTCAGTGTTTAAAACCCTTCCATTCTTCTCTCAGTTTTATCATTTCAGGATTTAAAACCTCTCTGGTTCTGCTTTTCCAACCCTTTAGTTCTTCTCTCAGCTTCATCATTTCAACTTTCAAAACCTCTCTGGTTCTGTTTTCAGTTTTGTTACTTTAGCTTTTAAAACCCTTTCATTCTTCTCAGTTTTATAATTTCAGCTTTTAAAATTCTTCTCTCAGTTTTATCATTTCAACTTTTCTCCTCAGTTTTATCATTTCTACTTTTAAAACCTCTCTGATTCTGCTCTATTTTATCATTTCAGCCTTTCCAACCCTCGATTCTTCTCTCAGCTTTATAATTTCAATATTTAAAACCCTTTAATTCTTCTCTCAGCTTTATAATTTCAATATTTAAAACCCTTTAATTCTTCTCTCAGTTTTATCATTCCAGCTTTTCTCCTCAGTTTTTTTCCTTTCAGCTTTTCCAGCCCTCTCTGGTCCTGCTCCCAACTTTCTTATCTCTCCAGAATTAAGCAGCTTTTGGGTGTGATGTGGTTTCAAACGCAGGGAATTGTGAAACCACCTGAATTTCAAGCACAGTTTCTCTCCACTTCCAGCCTTTCCCAGCTACAGAAGGAATTCCCAAGCTCCCACAAGAAAAATGCTGCCAATGCAGCAGAAACAACTGGAAACTGTGGAGATAATGAGAACATTTTGCCTGCAGGAGTGGGAGGAAAGCCCTGGGTGTTCCTGAGCTGTTTGTGTTGCTTCTGAGACACAACAAGAGGCAGAATTCCCTCGTGGGATTCACTCCCATGGGGTCTGGGCTGGCAGAGATCTGGGATTTGTTCCAAAGCTGACTCCCAGGCTGGGAAATCCTTGCTGGAATTCTGAAATCTGCCTGCCCCAAGCTGAGCTGTCAGGAAAATCCTGAGGGAAAAATATCTTCTAATTCAGGCTTTTTATATATATAAAAATAAAGGTATATTTAAAAAAATATATAATATATATAAAAATATGTATCATAGATAATATAGTCTTATATAATCAATTATATATAATATATATAAAAATATGTATAATAGCTAATATAGTCTTATATAATCAATTATATATAATATATTTAATTAATATAATTAATAATATAATGTAATATTATTGTATGTTATTGTATATATAATATAATATATTAATTTTTTTTTTCCCCCAAAACCCACAGGGAAAACACTGCCAAACATGGAAGAGATTTTTATTTTGCTGTGGGTGTTTGATCCTGAGGAAACTTGTGGGAAATTTGTGTAGCACAGAATTTTGGGATGGAGAGAATTTAAAACTCATCCTTTCCAATATCCCAGGTTTTGTCCCTGGCCTGGGACAATTCCAGCGATGGGGGAGCCACAAATTCCCTGAATTCCATCCCAGGCCCTCACAATCCCTTCCCAGTTTTCCCTTACGCTTCGCTTCTCCTCAGGGTTGCTGGATCCTCCATCTCCTGGATCCTCAGTTTCCTGAAGGTTTTAGGGTTTGTTTTTTTCTCTCTAAATTTCAATTTATGAGGTGAAACCTCCTCCATGGAGGCAGCAAAATGTTGTGTCTGGCCAGAAAATGTTGTTCCTTACCAGGCTGTGAAATCTTTGTTGGAATTCCAACATTTTCCTGCCCTGGCGGGAAAATCCTGAGGGAAAAATATCTTCTAATTCAGGCAGAGGCTATATACATATATATATATATATATATATATATAATTATTTTTTTCCAAATCCACATAAAAAATGCTGCCAAACATGGAACAGATTTTTGGGCAAATTTATTTTGCTGTGGGTGTTTGATCCTGAGCAAATTCGTGGGAAATTTGTCAATTTTGGGATGGCTTGGAAGGAATTAAGTAGGAATGAAGTAATTTTAAAAGTTAAGTGAAAATGAAGTAAAAAAAACCCGAATATTTTAAATGTTTAGAAGCTTTAGAGCAGGTTTTGAGCTCAGCTTTGCTCTCAAACTGGTTCAATAAAAAAGCCCAACAGCTCCAGATCCATCAAATGTTTCCAAATTCTCTCTGGCGGATGGAAATCAAAATTATTGGCGGATGGAAATCCAAATTTATTGGTGGTTGGAAATCCAATGATTGGTGGCTGGAAATCCAAATTTATTGGTGGCTGGAATCCAGTGATTGCCCAGGGGCTGGGGAGCTGCAGGGCTGGGCTGAGGCGTCCTCGTGTCCGGATCCGTTCCAGGGATGGGAACCCGAGCAGGACTGAGCTGAGGGAGCTGAGCCCTCACCAGGAGCATCCAGCACTTCCAGTGGCTTTTCCCACCCAAGTTTTCCCTTTTATTATGACCTGTTCCTCCAGGGGATTCTTCTAGGTAAGAGCAATCGATTGTTTAAATAAGAATTTAATTTTAGTATGTTGTTTAAATCAATAATCCTTCCTCATCTGTACTTTCTTACTCATTGAATAAGCAGGTATTAAGAAAAATCTAAATGTTAATTTAATTTTATTATGGTTTTATAATCAATAATCCTTTTTCATCTGTGTTTTCTTATTCTTTGAATATTCAGATATTGACAAAAATCTAAATAATTTAATTTTATTATATTTTATAATCAATAATCCTTTTTCATCTGTGTTTCCTACTCTTCCCACCCCTTTTTTCCTCCCCTTTTTTCCCTAAACTTCTTTAAAGGGAAGCAGACTTCCGGTGTCATGAATAAATAATTTGAATTTATTCCCAAATTTTCTCCAGATCTGTGTTTTCCCTGGGAATGGAGGTGCCCTTCGTGCTTCTCCTGACCAGGCTCGTGGCAGAAGTTGCAGGAAAATCCACGGAAAACTCAGTGGGTGCTCCAGGAATTTAATTTATTTTTATTATTATTAAAATTTTATTTTATTTTATTTTTTATCCCACATTTTCTGTATTTTTATTTAGAAGCTAAAAATCAGATGGATTTAGAAAAGAAAAATAAAATTGATTTCTAACAGCAAAATAAAATAGATTTTTAAAAATAAAATTTATATCTAAAGTAAAAATAAAATGGATTTAGAAAAATAAAATTGATTTATAAAATAAAAATAAAATTAAAAATAAACCAAGTTTTCTCCTTCTTGCTGGAAAAAAAAATTCCAGTGGGTTTTAAGTGTATCATCCCTTAATTTCTGTGGAGATTTTAAATTTATTTGTTGTATTTATTATCATTTCCTCAATGGAAAAGTGGGAATTCCCTGGGGATTTCTCTCCTCAGGTGCCAGACCCAGAATGTTGTGTGGAAATGTTGGATTCCAACAGCTCCTGCCCAGTCACCCACCAGTGCAGCCCAGGTAGGGAATTATTTGGGATAAATCCATGGAAAAGCCCTTCAGGGTCGTTTATTCCATGGGCACAGACCCAGCTGGCCTTGGCAATTCCAGGGAACGAAAATTCCCAGATTTTCTGGACTTCAATACCGAAATCCAGCAGCTGGGGAGTGCTAATTAATCCATTAATTATCATTCCCTTCTAATTGCTCCTCCTTCTGTCCCTCTGGAAATTTTGTTTTTCTGGGATAGTCACTGGGAGAATTCCAGGGATCAAAGTTCCCCAGACTTTTGTTATTCCCTTTTCATTTGTGCTCCTTTTTCCCCTTGGAAATTTTATTTTGCTGGGATAATCATTGGAGCCTTGGAGAATTCCAGGGATAAAAAATTCCCAGATTTTCTGGACTTTAATACCAAAATCCAGCAGCTGGGGAGTGCTAATTAATTCATTAATTAAGTAATATTATTTCCTCATAATTCCTTCTCCTTTTTCCCTTTGGGAAATGTTTGTTTTTCCTGGGATAAAAATTGGGAATAAAATTTGAGACTAAAACCTCTTCACTGTGGGAAAAGGGGAATCAGGTGCTGTGTGTAACCCCAAAAAAGGGAATTTCTGCTTTTCTTCCCCCTCTAAAACCTGGGAATTGCCAGGAAATGGGAATTTTCCTGGTCTCATCCATTTTCCATGGTTTTTGGGCAGGATGCTACAGGAGGTGGAACGAGGACGGGAGCAGCAGCTGCATCAGGTGCAGGAATGAGACCCTGCCCAGCCCCTCCGGGCACAACCTCAGCGAGTGCAGGAACCGTGAGTTTTCCACCCAATTTTATCCAATCCATTCAATTCAATTCATTGGAATTCATTGGAATTCATTGGAATTCATTGGAATTCATTGGAATTCATTGGAATTAATCGGAATTCATTGGAATTCATCGGAATTCATTGGAATATTTCTTCCTAATCAATTGGTATCAGTGACTGCAGAAACTCCCCCAAAAGGCAGCAAAAAATGGAGATTTTTACTCCACGTCCTGGAATTCATTTGAATTTAATTTAATTAATTTTAATTTTTGGTGTGCGTTTTCTGCTTTTTTCCCCAGCTGGGAGCAGAGGGATGAATTCCCACGTGAACATGAGCTCTCCTTTCATCCAGAACTTTGGTGAGAACCTGGGATTCTGGGAGGATCTCGGGTCTGAAAGAAGGGATTTGATGAGTTAAATATGTTAAAATTGGTTTAAAAAGGAATTTAACGAGTCTAAAAGGGAATTTAATGAGTCTAAAAGCAATTGAATTTCTTAAAATGATTTTAAAAAGTGACTTATTGAGTTTAAAAAGGGATTTAATGAATTAAAAAGGATTAAATGTGTTAAAATGAGTTTATAAAGGGATTTTACGAGTTAAAAGTGTTTGAATTTGTTAAAATGAGTTTTAATGGTGATTTAATGGCTTCAAAAAGAGTTTAACCAATGAAAGTGTTTTCATTTGTTAAAATGAGTTTTTACAAAGGGATTTAATGAGTTTAAAAAGGGATTTAATTTGTCAAAACTGATTTAATTGATTAAAATTTTTTCAAACTGATTGAGTCCCTGGCAGCTGCCATTGAAACTGAAGCTCAATTTCAGGCACTGGGGATGATCCCACAGCTCCCAAAAATCAGGAATTTGCTCTTTATTTGGGTTTAATCCTTTAATAAAAAGAGAATTTTGCTCAAAACCAGGTTTTCTCTCTTTTTCGGTCATTTTTCATTGCCAGGGGGCCCTGAAGTCGCCGCTTCTCTGATTCTGGGCACGTTTTTCCTCAGTTTGTTCCTGATCCTTTCCGTGGCTTCTTTCTTCTACCTCAAACGAGCCAACAAACTCCCAAAGATTTTCTACAGAAGGAACAAAGGTAAAAAACCCTTTAATTGTCCATTAATTAATGAATTTCACTCTGTTCATTGACTGACATGGGGGTTTTTTCCTTGAAAATTCCCATTTTGTGCCAATAAATTCCCATTTTCTGTGGAGAAAATTCCCATTTTCTGTGGAAAAATCCCCATTTTGTGCCAATAAATTCTCCAGTCTTGAGAGTCCTATACCAAATAAATTCTCCAAATGGGATTTTTGAGTATTTTGGTTGGATTGAGACAAAATTCCTTTTTTAACAAGAAAATATTCCCTTCATGGCTGTATTTTTGGAAAATGAACAATTCCAGCCGTCAATTAATTAAAATGATGTTAATTAATCTTTTCTTTTTTCCTTCTTTTTTAGCATCCGTCCTCCAGCCCAGTGAAACAGTGAGTGAATTCTGCTTTTATAGGAACATTAAATAAACAAGAATTTCCATTTTAATTAACTAAATTGAGACTTTATTAAGCAACTCCTTAATTGATGAATGAGGCTGAAATAAAATTAAAGATATTTTGGGGTTCTTTGGATCCAAACCGGGACAAAAATGGAAAAAAAAGAGATTTTTCCAAGAAAAAACTCTGTACTCAGTGAAAATTATAGGAATCCTAAAAAATTCCTGGATTTTTTAAAAGAAAAACTGTTAAAATTTGGGGTTTTTTGACATTATCCTTCTATTCCACAGGCATCCATGATCTCTCCTCCAGCTTCTTCAGGTGAGGAAATTTCCCCTGGAATGTGCTAAAAATAAACGGGAAATCCCAAAAATTCCCGGGATAAGGAACAGAAATCAGTGGGATTTGATTTTTCTAATGGGATTTGTAGCTTTAATTCATGCAGGGCAAAATATTGATGGGATTTCTGGTGGGAAATCCATTCTTGGGGTTCTGGTTGAGTTTTTTTGGGGTTGGGACTGGGTTTTGTGGGCTTAGTTTGGGGTTTGTGGTTGGGTTTTGTGGGTTTAATTTTGGGTTTTGTGGGTTTAATTTTGGGTTTTTGGTTGAGTTTTGTGGGTTTAAGTTTGGGTTTGGAGTTGAGTTTGGTGGGTTTAGTTTGGGGCGTTGGGGTTTGGGGATTTACACTTGGTTTTGTGGGTTTTAGGTTTGGGTTTTGTGGGGTTAAAAACCACAAAACACAACCCCAACCCCTCCCACAGCTCAATCCCCACATCCCGCCCCCTCCTCCCTTTGGGATTTCCCTCCCCAATCCCATTCCCAGGGATTTTTTTTGGGATATTTTGTCTCTGTCAGCGTGGAACCCGCGCTCAAACCCGAAACCCAACCGCAATCCCAAATCCCAACCCTAAACACCCAAACCCCAGCCCCAAACCCCGCTGCGCCTCAATCCCCACATCCCACCTCCCTGTCCCTCTGGGAATTCCCTGTGGGACCCCATTCCCAGGGATGTTTTTGGGGTGTTTTGTCCCGGCAGTGCGGAAGCCGCGCTACGTCCGCCGCGAGCGCGCCCCGGTCCCGCCCGGCCCCGCCGACAGCCGGGTCAGCAACGTGTGAGCGCGAGCCCGGAGCGTGCCGGGAAACCCTGGGAGCCTCTGATCCCACAGGAACCCAAAGGGTCTGTGCCTGATCCCAAAGGGTCTGTGCCTGATCCCCTGGGAGCCTCTGATCCCACAGGAACCCCAAAGGGTCTGTGCTGAACCCCTGGGAGCCTCTGATCCCACAGGAACCCCAAAGGGTCTGTGCTGAACCCCAAAGGGTCTGTGCTGAACCCCTGGGAGCCTCTGATCCCACAGGAACCCAAAGGGTCTGTGCTGAACCCCTGGGAGCTGCTGATCCCACAGGAACCCCAAGGGTCTGTGCCTGATCCCAAAGGGTCTGTGCCGAACCCCAAGGGTCTGTGCCTGATCACAAAGGGTCTGTGCCTGATCACAAAGGGTCTGTGCCCAACCCCAAGGGTCTGTGCCTGATCCCAAAGGGTCTGTGCCCAACCCCAAGGGTCTGTGCCCAACCCCAAGGGTCTGTGCCTGATCACAAAGGGTCTGTGCCCAACCCCAAAGGGTTTGTGCTGAACCCCAAGGGTCTGTGCCCAACCCCAAGGGTCTGTGCCCAACCCCAAGGGTCTGTGCCCAACCCCAAGGGTTTGTGCCCAACCCCAAGGGTCTGTGCCTGATCCCAAAGGGTCTGTGCCTGATCCCCAAGGGTCTGTGCCTGATCCCCAAGGGTCTGTGCTGAACCCCAAGGGTCTGTGCCTGATCCCAAAGGGTCTGTGCTGAACCCCAAGGGTCTGTGCCTGGTCCCAAAGGGTCTGTGCCTGGTCCCAAAGGGTCTGTGCCCGACCCCAAGGGTCTGTGCCTGGTCTCACCCCCAGCTCACGGCGGCGCCGCCCCGGGGACGTCTGGGGCCTTTGGAGGGTCCTGGTGCTGCTCCGGGGGTTCCTGCCCAAGGATGGGGGAATTCCTGAAGGATTTGGGGGATTTTTGGTGTTTGGAGAGAATTCCTGAGGGATTTGGGGACTTTCCTTGGGATGTGAGCCCACAACTGGCGCTGGGATTTGGGATGTGGATCCATCCTGGGCTGGACACTTGGCCAAGGGATCCTCTCGAGTGCCACTGCTTTAACCTGGGACAGCAATTAATTATGCTAACTAACCATGCTAATTAACTATGACAGAATCCTTTGGAAGCAAATCCCAGATCCCACTGGGAGCTCTCCTGCTGCTCAATCCAGGCCTGATCCCAAATCTTGGGATTTTTTGGGAATTTTTCCAGCTCAGTCCTTGGATTCAACATTCTCCAAGGGATAATTGGGAATTCCTGCTTTGGGGGATTTTTGGGATGAGCCACAGGGGTTGGGACAACTCCTGCCAGTGGAAAATGGGATTTTTGGGGTGGGAAATGCCTGGAATTGGAGCTCCAGAGACGTTCCCCAATTCCAGGCATGGATCTCATTCCTGCCTGAGGAATTTTGGGAAGTTCAAAGAGCTGGAAAAAAAGGATTTTTTTTTCCTGGCTGGGTCTCTCTGCTGCAGCTTTTCCATCCAAGCCTGAGGGTCCTAAATCCATGGAGAAGTCCTAAATCCATGGAGAAGTCCTAAATCCATCCTAAATCCATGGAAAAGTCACTGTCACCCCCTGGAATTCCAACTCTTTTACCCCTGGCTGGGCTGGTTTGGGATCCATCCCAAATCCATCCCAAATCCATCCCAAATCCATCCCAAATCCCTGGGATTCCTGTGTCACCCCTGAACTCCAGCTCTGAGCATTCCCAGGGAAATCCTTTGGCTCCTCAGCATTCCCTGCCAGGGATGGGATTGGGAACTTTGGTTCTCCCCTTTTCCCCCAATTTTTAATGGGAAAATGGGAACAGAACTCTTGGCTCTGCCTCCCTGGAGAATCCACATTGCCCTGGGCTTCAAACCTCCCAGGAGGAGAGTTTGGGATGGGAACAAATCTGTTTATCCCATGGAATATTCCCATTTTTTCTGGGAATTTTGGGGCAGCTGGATTTGCTTTTATCTCCTTAAAAAAACAGTGAGATTTTGGTGGAATTTTTAGGGATAAAACCCAAATCATGGGGAGGCTCCTGTGCCAAAAAATTCCAAATTTTTCCTCTTTATTATGAGAAATAAAATTCTTTTCCTCCTGGCCAAGGAATTCCAGTTGAAATTCCCATTTTTTTGAGGATTTGGGAAATTCCAACTTGGAATTTTGATCATTTCCATTTTTTTTTGTGCTGCTGAGATTTTTTTCCCTTCCCAAGCAGGAAGGTTTTATCCTGGAATTCAGAATTCCTGAGGATTTTCCAAATTCCTGAGGATTTTCTGAATTCCAAAGGGGAAAAAAAAAAAAAGGAGGAACTATGCAAATAATTCCAAGGAATTACACCTCTGGAGCTGGGAATTCCTGTGTGTTAATTCCTGTCCTGCTTAATTGCTGAAATTTTAATTTATTGAAGGATCAGCTCCTTTTTCTGTCTCTTCTTGTGTGGGATTTGCTTTAATTGTTGTCTAATAATGGGATTTTTGTCATTAAAAATGGGATTTGTGACATTAAAAGTGGGATTTGTGTAAACATCTAAAAATCTAATTCTGTGTGTGATTAAAATCGAGTTTTTCTCAGTGATTTATACCCAGAAAATGTTAAAATCCCCAAATTTTTACTCATTTTTGGGGTGTGGTTCAGCTTTGTCATTGCTGTGAACTCCTGGTTGAGTTTATGGGGTTTGGGTTTGGGTTTTGTGGGTTTAGGTTTGGTTTTATGGGTTTGGTTTGGGTTTAAGTCTGGGTTTTGTGGGTTTCATTTTGGGTTTTGGCGTTTGATTTTTTGAGTTTAGGTTTGGTTGGGGTTGAGTTTTGTGGGGTTTGGAGTTTGGGTTTTGTAGGTTTGGGTTTTGGGGTTGGGTTTGTGCTTGAGGTTGGTGGGTTTAGATTTGGATTTGGGGTGAAGGTTTGGGTTTAATTTGGGGCTTTGTGGCTGAATTTCGTGGGTTTAGTTTGGTTTTATGGGTTTAGTTTGGGTTTGGGGTTGAGCTTTGTGGGGTTGGTTTGGGTTTGGGTTTCAGTTTTGGTTCTGTGGGTTTAATTTGAGTTTTCTGGGTTTCTCCTTCCTTTCCACCATCAAGTTCCTCTTCCAAAGTGCTGCTTTGGGTTGAAAACAATAAAATTGTGTTTAAAACTCGGTTTTAACCCCCCGATATTTCCTGCATTTGTATCTTTGTAAACAGTGCCAAAATAAAGAGATTTAAACTTTTCTTCTTTGGCTTTTCAGCTTTTTTGGGGGGTTGATTTTGGGGAAAAAATGTTGGGAAAAATCCAATTCCAAGCCTGTGCTGCCCCTCAGGGAGAGCTGAGCAGGGAAATTCCCTGGTGGAAAATCCCAGAATTCCAGGAGCTGCAATTCCAGAGGCTCTGGAATTGGGAGAGCTTTAATTAGGAGCGAGCAATTAGCATGGGCTTAATTAAGATGTTTACATCAGGCAGGTAAAGCTGGGCTTTAATTCCCTTTTTCCTTCCCAATTCCCCACTGGGGTTGGATTTGGGGTTTTGGGGTTGGGATTGGGGAAATTCCCACTGCAATTCCCAGTCCCCAGTGATGTCATTTCCACTGTTGATTTTTGGCTGATTTCTTTTGAATTTCATGGATTTCCTTTTAATTCCATGGATTTCTTTTGGATTTCCTTTGAATTTCATGGATTTCTTCGGAATTTCTTTTCAATTTCATGGATTTCTTTTGCATGTCCTTTAATTCCACGGATTTCCCTTTAATTTAATGTATTTCTTTTTAATTTCACCGATTTCTTTTGGATTTCTTTTTCACTCTACAGATTTCCTTTTAATTTCGTGGATTTCTTTTCAATTTCATGGATTTATTTTCAATTTCATGGATTTATTTTGGATGTCCTTTTAATTTCATGGATTTCCTTTTAATTTCATGGATTTCCTTTTTGTTTCTTTTCAATTCCACTGATTTCCTTTCATTCCACGCATTTTTTTAAATTTTGTTTCATGGATTTCTTGTTAATTTAATTTCATTTCATCTCTGGAAATCGCTGGAGCTGTGGCCACTGGGGGGAGTAAAGGCCAAAGAGAGTCCAGGGAGCTCAATTTCCCAACGATTCCCAAGAACAGGTGAACCTTTCTGGAGCTGCTCATCCTGTGGGATTCCTGGAAAAAAACCAATTTGTCCATTGCTTTTGGATCAGAAAAATCCCAGGATTTTGGCCCAGGTAAATTGAGCTGGAACCAGGATTTTCCAATAATTTTTGGGAAAGCCTTGTGGAGCTGCTCGTCCCATAGAATCCCTGGGAAAAACCAATTTGTTTATTGGCTTTGGCTCAGCAAATCCCAGGATTTTGCCTCTGGCTCAGCAAATCCCAGGATTTTGCCTCTGGCTCAGCAAATCCCAGGATTTTGCCTCTGGCTCAGCAATCCCAGGATTCTGCCTCTGGCTCAGCAAATCCCAGGATTTTGGCCCAGGGCTTGGAGCTTTTCCCGCGCTTTTCCCGGGAATGCTCTGGAGCTGCTCATCCCTGGAAAAAACCAGTTCGTTAATTGCTGCTGCCAGGCCGGGCTTTAATGAGCCGAGCCCAAGCTCCGCTATCTTATCTGGGCCTGATAAGCACCAAACGTTCCCGGGCGTTGCCAGAAACCCAATAAAAAATCTTCAATTTTATGGGTCCTGATGAAAAGCTGCGCTCTGCTGGGGCTGTTTGCTCGGCCGGGACAAATCCAGCTCCAAAAAAATTCCTGGCGTAAGAAGAAAGTTTGCCCAAGGTTTAGAAAAACCTTTAAAAATATCTTTAATTAATCACAAAACTCTGAGTAAATGTTAAGAGCGGTGATAATTTGTATTTTGAGGGGATAGTTCCCTTTTTCTCTGGAATATCCTGATTATTATTATTAAATTTTATTTATTATTCCACTATTATTATTATTACATTTTATTTATTATTATTCCTTATTTATTAGTAGTATTCTTCCCTTTTTCTCTGGAATATCCTGATGATGATTATTATTATTGAATTTTACTTATTATTATTCCTTATTTATCATTATC